TAAATAAGTCAATTTTTATGTTTACTACAGCCTCTGATGAAAAATGACTCATTGTGCAGTGTGAGAAAATATGTGGTAAAACACCATACTTCCCACAATGGAACATGGTCAGAAGATGTGGGAAATCGCACTAGATTCACTTTCCTATGGACAGAGCAAGCCCATTCTGTTACAGTCCTGGCTGTCAATTCAGTTGGTACTTCTCATGCAAATTTTAATCTGACGTTCTCATGGCCTGTGAGCAAAGGTAAGAAAGGGTGCAGGGTAGTAAACCTGTTCCCCTTCTAAGGTTTGATCTTTACAGTCTTCTCCCATTCTAAACGATCTTCTACGGAGCCTCAGATTCTCTGTATCTGATAGGCTCTTTCACCCTTTATCTCTTCTTTGTCTGAAAAATAACAAAATGACTGTAGCCTGATGATTGTAATATGGTCTTTGGGTTTTCATGTGATAGAACCTGTTGAAATGGCACTATAATAAATGAGAATATTCTAGTATATCAAAAAATAAAATGTTTTGGACCATTTGAGTATATATATATATATAAAGATATACACACACATATTTATAAAATGTATATATGTATGCTTATATAATATATTAGAACATGTCTACATGTGTGTTATATGTATTACATGTATATGTAATAGTATGACATATATGGATGCAAGTAATTGCTTAGACTTGAAAATTAACCTGTACTTTATTTAATACAAATGAAGAATGCTTTTTCATTAATTTTGATATATTTGATTAATCAGAGAACTGAGAAGCACTTTCAGTAGGAGCTTCTGATCTAGATTATATATTTAAAGTATAATTTTTTAATGGAAAATTTAAATTTCCTGTACCTCTACCAATCCCCTTCATGAAGCCTTTGCTTTTTGCCTCAATTAGAGATGTTACATCCTTTCTTTAAATTTCAGGGTGTTTTCTACTTTTCTGTAGGTATTTTATGTTCTGCTTTATATTATAATTACTTTTGTATGTATGGGATGAGCTTTTTGTAAGTTCCACAGCAGCTGTACAATGTTTTTCACCAAAATTATTTTTGGTCAATATGCTCTAGAAATATTTATTGAAATGCTGTACGGTGCTAGGTTGTGGGAATTCCAACATGAAAGCAACTGTAATGCTTTCAGCATTCAGAGTCCAATAGATGAGGCAGATATTAATCAAATAATCATATAAATTAATGCCTATTTACAAACTGAGACAATTGTTCCCAGGAAAAGAATATGATTTTTTTAAAAAGAAAATAAAATAGGAACCTGACCTGATATTGAGGGTCAGAGAAGCTTTCTTTGAGGAAGTGCTATAGGAATTAAACTTTCCCAGAAGGCTGGGAGAGGTGGATTGGCTCCCGAGAGAGAAATACTGACTGGTAGCCCTAATGGCACAGGAGAGGATGGGAAGGAAGACCCGGGGCAGAAAACCCTGCCAAGGCCTAGAAGTAGGCTGAGTCCTGGCCCTCAGGGCCTTGTAGGCATGCTAGGAATTTTATCCTCACATGTGGAAATCCACTGGAGACCTTTAAATGAGACACTGTGCAGAGCATGTTAAAATGATCCTACCTGTGATTTCAAAGCACAACCCCATCAGCAGGAGAGGAGAGTTTGGAGGGGATTAGAGGATGATTAATAGGCTTGTGCACTATTCCAGTGGAAAACAAATTTTTAAAATTTATCCCCAAATCCCTTTTTTAGAGTTTAGATGGAATCTTATTTTTCCTCAATATCATATATTACCACATCTTTCTGCTTATATGACTGTGGTATAAAACTAATTGACATGTAGTGTATTTATTGGCATAAATGTCTGCCTTCTCTTTCTTCTGCCTTTCTCCAGTCAGTTATGTGTGTCTCAAGGGTATTAGGAGACTTTCATTATTTTGAATGTAAAAATAAATTTCCTTCTTTTCCCTCTCAGTAAATATCGTGCAGTCACTCAGTACTTATCCTTTAAACAGCAGTTGTGTGATTCTTTCCTGGATACTATCACCCAGTGATTACAATCTGATGTATTTTATAATTGAGTGGAAAATTCTTAATGAGGACAATGAAATTAAATGGCTTAGAATCCCTTCATCTGTTAAGAAGTATTATATCCATGGTAAGTTTCTGTACTTAGTAAGTGTCTCTTGTGGATTGGTATGACAGTCTGGATTATTAATTCAGATACTATAGCCAGTTATGAACACTTCAAAAATATAGATGATGCTGCCATCTTACTACATATAATTCTATCACTTCATCATACATTTAATTATATTTCATTTGATTCTTTTTCACTTAAATATTTTATAATAGTAATCATATCATATCTACCACTTTTCTTCTGATTTGTTTCTTTGATATATCACAAAGCATGTTTCTATTTTCTCCTCAATTCTTTGTACAATTATTTTTCATGATGATATTGCAGTTTATTCTGAATCTACTTAAACCATTTATTTGAGAACATTAATGTTGCTTCCACCTTTAACTTTTTTCAAACTATTTTTTAATATGATATCTTAAATATCTACTTTTGATAGCTACTGCCATGTTATTTTCCCAAACAGTGTACCACTTACAATGCCACTAGCAATGGGTGGGAGTGTGCCAGGCTGCAAGTCTGGGGATCTAGGACCTGGTGACATAGCAGCATACTCTCCCAAAGGTAGACCAGTTACCTTAGGAAGTGATTAAAGTACATGATGTGAGTGCAAAGCACAGCGTCTCCAAGTCTGCGTAAGGTTAAATAGAAGAGCTGAGTATTTCCATGGTCATGGTCCTATTATACAATATCATCTTAAAGACCCTAGGAAGTACAGCATAGAGAATATAATCAATAATGCTCTAATGTTTTTGTATGGTAACAGGGTAACTATAGTTACCATGGTGAGCATTTAGTAATGCATATGATTATTGAATTATTATGTTGTACTTCTGAAACCAAAATAATATTGTATTTCAACTATATTCCAATAAAGAAAAACAGTGTATTTCAACTATATTCCAGTAAAGAAAGACCCTAGAATTTAAGCATCAGGGTAAACAGAAACACATTATTGATGGAGCACTAAGTTCAGTTCGTTACCACTGTTGTCCAGGTTGTTACTTGCTGTGCTTTTCTTTAAAGCATGGTAATGTAGAACTTAGACTTCAAAGAGATTTATCTTTTGTGGAATAACATTTATATATTGTTAACATTTGTAAAAATGATAGATTAATTATATATTCATTTGCTATAGAGGTGTTCATCATGGATTTGTGGATATATGGGGGCTCCTGGTCCCTACCTCCATCTTCATTGCATAGAATTTCACAAGACTTTAGTCTCAAAACTGCCTTGAATGGGTGAACTAAGTAGCTAAATTCCTACAAAAAGGGAGTATTGCTAGGTTTGGGGAGATGGGAGAAGAGGTAGAGCATGTTGTCCTGGAAAGAGAAATGAAACAACTCAGATACCCTGAACTTGAACAAATTGGCTATTACTGGGAACATGACTTTGAAAAATTGCAGTCTTCTGTCTCTGAGTAATATTTTAAAAATTTATTTGGAAAATATAGTGATTACTAGGAGAATTTGGAGTGCTTAAGTTGTTTTTAAAATTCCCTTCATCAGTTTTAATCCATAAATAGCAACTAATTTTCTATGTTTGGAGATACAGAAAATTCACCTAAAATTTTTTTTTTTACATAGATTCCACTCATTAATTCAATAGGAATGACTCTTTAATATATTTTTCTTCTTAGATCATTTCATCCCCATTGAGAAGTATCAGTTCAGTCTTTATCCAATATTTACGGAAGGAGTGGGGAAACCGAAGATAATTAATAGTCTTACCCCAGGTAAAATTTTTACTTTTGATTTTTTTTTTACACAGATATGTGGTTTTCCATTTATTTAGCAGTTATGTTGCCATGTGATTATTCTCTGAGTGAATTATGGAAGATTTCCGAGTCTTATGTGAATGTGCCAGGCAGTGACTGTGGTCAGGGTATATGGTTCCATGGTGGTACTAAGGAGAATAATCAAGCATGTATCATATTCTTATATTGGTAAGTAAAATTTTTAGTCTCAAGTGGGATGAGTTGATGGAAAGAAAATAAGGAGAAATATACAGCTATACAATAAAACACATCATCATAAAGAATAATTGGAAAACATTTTCTGTATAATTCATATAAATGCACATGCCCCAACAATATATCTGGGGGCATATGTTTATGAGCCTTTAGATTTTAATCAGTTTTCTAAAGGAACATTTTTTTTCCTCAAAAAATAAAACCAGAGAGATAGTTATAGAAGTAAGTTCAGGGCTTCTTATATTTATGATTCATCTTACCATACTTGGAGTTTCAACATTTTGATCTTGTTACTACTTTTCAAGTTGCTTTCCAATCCAAGCAACCCTATATAATGAAGTTTCAATAGAGAAATATTTTGCCTGATTTTAGAATTCAAATACTTATAAAAATGTGTTCACGTATTGCTTGAGAAATATATATTAAGCACTGTTCTAAGCTCTAGAGGCTGATTGGTGATCCTCAGTCTCTGCCCTTATGGAGCTTGAACTCCAGTATTCTAATAGGCGTGACAGACAATCAACAAATCACATGTAATATATGAGCAGATAGAAATAAGTTCCATGAAGCAAAATAAAAGATAAAAGGCTATAGTTAAAATGTGGTGCTTTAGTTAAGATGGCCAGAATTGGTCTTTTTCCCTGTGCAAGTGGTATCTGAGTAGAGCCCTGCAAATACCAAGGAAGAGCATTTCAGCAAAGGGATAGCAAGTGCAAAGGCCCCTAAGAGTTCAGCATGCTCTGTAATTCGAGAACAGCAAGGAGGCCAGTGTGCCTGGGGTGAACAAGAGATCAGCAGGTGTTTTAGGTTGGCTTCTCCAGAAGCAGATGCTGAGACAAAGATTCATCATAACAACTTTAATTGGTGCTTTGACTCATATAACTTAAAGGTGATCAGAGGGAGAGAATGGGCAAATAACTAATTTTGAAAAAATATTTTGCTAAATTACAATACACATAATTTCAAACAAAATTATTTTATTAATGTGATAACCGTATTTATATTTTCATCTTTCATACTTTTGTGTCTTTAAAGGTAATATGGACTTATGATGCAATCAGAAAAAAGTGTATTGTAATTTTTATTACAGTTAGATTATTACTTTCTCAAGTTTTGGAATTGTGTGAATTTTATTTCTTTTTCAGATGATATTGAAAAACACCAGAATGATGCAGGTCTATATGTAATTGTGCCAATAATTATTTCTTCTTCAATCTTATTGCTTGGAACGTTGTTAATATCACACCAAAGGTATTGTACTTGGTGTTGAGAATCTTTATGGCAAAAAGCCCTTGAGTATATTTAAACTTTGTTTTAAAACTGAAATCAGAAGCATTATAGTATTCTATTTTTATGTGTATTCAGTATACAATTAAGGTGGCATAGAAAGAAAAGGGCTGTTTTCAGGAAATCACATACAGTTTTGCTAGACCACCATAAAACTCATGGAAAAAATTAGTTTTTTTACATATGTACATTCAGGAAATAACAAACTTATATCAGGAAATCCTAGGTAGTGTGTTCTTGAAGGAGGCAAATGGCTTTAGAGCTGGGCAATGTGTATGAGGACTTTTAGGGGTAAATATTCACGTGGAGCAGTCAGTTCACTTATGATCAGTAAGCGCTCTGCTTTGTAAAGACCAGCCCTGTGTGGCTCCAGTGTGTCTGGTTTGGCAAATGGCCTTGAATTTCTTGTGGTCCAGACCAATAAGGTTATTTCCCACATGCCAAATCTCTACAGAAACTTTTGCCTTCTAGCAAAAAAGAGGGAGAGGTGATTTTAGAATCTGAATTTATCTTGCAGCCAAGTGAGCTGATGGAGCCGTATCACGTGGAATTGTTTCTGAAACTCTGTTGATGGCAATTTTTAATATTTGATATTCTCTGAGAAAAACCTATGCAGAGTGTTTAGCACAGTGTCTGGCACACAGCTTTCAATAAATACTGGCTATTTTTAATTATCATAGTGATTGTTAACTTTGGTCTAGACAGAACATTAGTAGAAATCTTTATGGAATAGCATGTGAAAAATGAATCTGACCTACTGAGGCAATGCTGGTCTGGTACATAATTTTCTAGTTTGTGCATTCAGTCATTAATAGCACTTTTAAAGTGAATGTTTTCCTCTAATTCTAATGCCTTGTTTGTACTTTGTAGAATGAAAAAGCTGTTTTGGGAAGATGTTCCAAACCCCAAGAATTGTTCCTGGGCCCAAGGACTTAATTTTCAGAAGGTCTCCTTTTCAATTTTTTTTAGCCTGAAATATATGAGATTGCATTTTAGATGCTTTATGCCTTCTAGAACTTCAAAGGTTTAAATCTTTCTTTATTCAATTCATTTTAATATGAGTCTCTTCAATCTATTACATATTTTCAAGAAAAGCAAGATTTAGGAATTTGAAACCACTAGGTATTTTACCATATGAGAGTTAATAATATACATATCTTTCTTCTGTGTCACAGTGTATAACAAAAATAAATATTAGAATATTATGGTCAAATCTGATACAGAAAGGATATTTTGGATATACTTTTTAGGTATAAATTAATTTTCTTAGTCAAAGGCTGGAATCAATATTTTTAATCCTATGACTATATCCATAATTATTTGAATCAATAAAAGCTATATAAATAATCCTATACTCAAACCTGCAATCTGAAAAAAATGCACTCATTAAAAAGCTTACGTTTATGCAGTAATCCTTTCAAGCCAAAATACTTTATGAAACAGTCAACTATAATAAAGTTATTTGTACTTACATCTATAACAGAATTTCTCAGAAGACTTTAGTTTAATGAATGTTATATTAATTCTCATTATTTCCCATGAAGCAAATTTGTTTTTTTCCACCCATCATATTAAGAAAATGGAATTCAGCTTTCATGTCAAAATATCTACACAATGTTTTAAACAATAGTCATATGGAAGTTATGCTGCCTCAATAATTGTGTCTTTATCATTAGTCACTGTTAAAAGTCTTCAGTGGATTCCTTTTAGCTACAAAATACAGAACAGTCTCTTTTAGTTTGTACTCAGTGACTCGCTGGGCCTTTAACGAGCCTTTGCAATTCCTTTCACCTCTACAAACCCCTCCACAACAATAAAGACCTTTCTCCAGGTCCTTCTTCTAGGCCCAGAGAGGGAGCAGCGCGCTGAGCTTAGCATGCAGAATGGGGTGAGGAGGTGAAGACAGGAAAGTGACAGCTGAGCTAAGATCTGGAAGATGAGCCATTCAAAATCTCATAGTGAGATTTTGGGTGGAGACGGGGAGCCCGGGCAGCACCATCTGCGATTCCAAGCCCCATGGCAGCAAGGACATTAGCAGATTCACAAACTGAAAATAGGGAGATTAAAAGGCAAATAGTAACGAGGAGGTTATTTTTCTTAAATATGAATTTTTTTTTGTCAAGAAAATCTAAATAACTATCTAAATAAAATTTTAAAGGCTTTACTACATAAGTATATATTAATGCAGGGAATAACCATTTTACTCTCTTTAAGAGAAGCTTAAACTGTCTTCAGCATGTTAGGCTCTGAAAGCTCCCCTGTGAACCAGCGTGAACATGGTTTCTAAGTGTTTGGTAGGGCAGGGAAACCACCGGGCTCACCTAGCAAAATGCAGTCTGAACCTGCACCAAATGATCTTTCCCCTTTCCTGAAAATGCCTGACACAAAGGAACCTCTTGGTGTTGTAAACTGAGTCAGGGAATATTTGTGGTTTACACACAAGTCTTCTGTCTCATGTATGTTTTCTGAAGAAGAGCATCTGACAGACTTTTTTTTATTATTCAAGTATCATTGTTATACAATCTTATGATGGTTTCACATTCACAGCACAGGGGTTCAACATTAACCCGTATTATCAAGTCTTACCCCCACCCCCCACATTGCAGTCACTGTCTGTGAGCGTTGATGTTGTAGAGTCATTACTTGCCTTCTCCGTGCTGTACTGCCTTCCCCGTGACCTACCTGTGTTGTGTGTGCTAATTATAATGCCCCTTAATGCCCTTCTCCCTCCCTCCCCTTCCTCCCTCCCCCACCCTTCCCATTTGGTAACTGCTGGTCCCTTCTTGGAGTCTGTGAGTCTGCTGAGGTTTTGTTCCTTCAGTTTTGCTTTGTTTTTATACTCAAAGTGTGAGGAATTCTTAAGATACTTATGGTGGTTGTATGAGGGTGTATGTAATACCCTTATTTGTAAGACTGATTTATTTTTTTTTACCTCTATGAATACTTGATTTTACAATCTTACAAGATATTCTTTAAGCGTAACTAGACCTCAAGATGCTTAAAGGCTTAATAGGTACACAGATAACACAATTAAGAATAAATCAGTTTTTGGAGTGTAATAGGGATATTGGAAAAGTTAAGAAGATAATATCAAAGATTTTACTAATGACAAAAGTCTAATCTTCTAAAATTCAATAACTTTTAAAAATATCTCACTTTCTGCCTTAATTTCCTAATTAAACAAATACACTTTTTTAGGGAATAATAATACCATATAAATCATGTTATCTTTCCAAAGAGGATAAGGCAAATTTACTATCTGCTCTTTGCTTTCATATTCATGTTATTTTACTCAATTCTCTCATGGGCCTAATAGCCTTCCATTTTCAGATGACACAACTGAGGCTCAGTAGTTTGTCTTGGTCATCCAGCCTGTATATGTAAAACATTGTTTAAACCCGGTTCCACTGGACTCAAGCTGATACCCTTGCCATCAATTCCATATAAACACTATATTACGTGGTGTACTTAACAACACTAAATTCTACACTTAATAGTAGTTGAAATAGTAAATTTATCTTGTGTATAGTTTAACACAATAAAAAAATCTAAATAAAATTTATCTAAATAGAGGATCTAAATAGAGATTTCTCCAAAGATATACAAATGGTCAATAAGCACAAACGTATATATGTGCAACATCATTAGCCATTAGGGAAATGCAAGATACTACTTTATACTAGCTAGGATGGCTATAATCAAAGAGACAGTAAGTATCGATGAGAATGTGGAGAAACTGGAACTCATACACTGCCAGTGGAAATGTAAAATGGTAGAGCCCCTATGGAAAATAGTCTGGCAGTTGTTCAGCAGTTAAACATAGAATTACCATATGATCCAACAATGCCTGGGTATATAGTTTTATAATAATTGCTAGATATATAGGCAATAGAAATGAAATCGTATATCCACCGAGAAACTTGTACATGAATATTCGTAGCAGCATTATTCATTATAGCCAAAACATGGAAAAACTCAAATATCCATAAAATGATGAGTAGATAAGCAAAATGTGGTTTATCCAATACTAAAATGAAAGGACACAAATAAACAAGCAAAAAGCCCCACAATGTATTGCAAAGGAAACCATGGGAGCTCATTGTTTTTAAAAACAAATCAATTACCAGTGTTTTTTGAAAGGAAGCAATAATTTTTTATGTAAAGTATTTCCCCTAATTTGTTCTCCACATTCAGATTATTTTGAACACTGGTTTTTATGAAAGTAATCTATACCTATAATTCCTACACATCCAACCTGATTTCTAAAATTAATCCCTTCCACTTTTTAAGCCATCATTCTCCTTCCCTTTGGTTTATAATAAATCTAAATCCACACTAAGCCTGTAAGCATACAAATCAAAGATGTTTTTAAAAGCCAGTATTTTGAGATCCTTCTAAAGAAAAAAGTCAAGGCAAAACATTTCTTTAAAATTACAGTATGTCAGACATTGCTAATAATAGGCTGATACCTCATGCAATTAAAAATAATTCTCCCTTATAATTTTCCCCTGATTTTCTTTTGTATATTCCACTTCCTTTTACCATTTAAAATTATTTTTAAGGCAATATAAAAACATAAAATGGAATAATGTAAAAATAGCTATGTACTAACAGTATCTTAAGATGTTCTCGTATTTGCTTCATATTTTTTAATTAATAGAAACTACCGGTGAATTTGTCTGCCTGTTCCCCTAACCAGTGTTGGGCCCTCCCTTCCCCCCTCTGGCACCCACTTTCAAAAATATAGTATATATTTGTCTAGCTTGTGCTTTCATGCTTTCCTACACCTGCAATGAACAGTAATACTTTTGGTTACTATTAATATACCTTCCATATCATTCAAAAAAGTTAATTTTTTCCTCAGCACTGTTTTTTGAGGTATTACCATGTTGATATAATTCATGTAGTTCTCTCATTTGGCCTGGTCTCGGTAGTATTCTCTGTACCACAATTCATGTGTCCTTTCCCCTACTGATGGATATTTAAGTTGTTTGAAAACTTTTTTGTATTTATTACAAACAATGTTGTGGAAAGCATGTTAGTATAGGTCTCTTTTTCTCTAGGGGTATATGCTCTGATATGTCCCATTTTTAAAAAGAGTTTTTACATTACCACATAACCAGTGTGCATGATTAGTATGCATGAACATTTATTGAGAGTATAATGTCCTCCCGCACCTCTCTTTACCCTTAGTCTTGCTCTCCAAATACCATTACTTTAACCTGGTTTGCTTTAAATTTTCTGGCAGGTCACCTTTGTATTTCTAAAAATAATGTGCTTATGTCACTATGATATGTGGAATGTAGACACTGTCTATTGGTTTTTGGCTATAATGAGGATTTACTCGTACATATACTTACAATACTTACACCCCCTTCTCCTTCCCATGCTACCCACTTTCTTCAATACTTCAGTAATCACCCTGCAAGCTCAGTAAATCTTAAAGTCCATTCTTATTCTATCAAATAGACTATTCTTAGAGATCCTCTCCCCATTTTTCTTTTTTAACGAAATAAAGACATTAGCATCTTACCCTCCTTCTATTTCTCCCTCCACTTTCCAATCTCTGTAACTTTACACTTTTACTTAAGTCAGGGTTGATTACGTGTTCTGTGCTATAATTTGTCTATGGGTCATTTAAAAAAAAAGCAAATCAACAAACTGCATTTACTTTGCTATGAGTATGTAAATATCGTTCCTTGCAGAACAAGTAATATATTGTGATTACATCTTCTGGCGGTGCTGATGTCACAGGTTAATGTTTTTTAAAAAAGATATTAGAACCATTCCACCTGTTGATCAAAATTGTGCCAAATTTTAGTTGGCTTCATTTTTAGTTGTTCTTTATTTTTGTTGTTTTGTTTTTACTAGAGCTCCTTATCTCTTCTTTAAAATCTCTTTAACCTCTGTGTGCTGCTTTTATGTAGGCTTCTTCACTTGGAGGTGTTTTTCCAATCTACTCTGTCCATGAAAACCTCTATCTTCCTACTTCAATCTGGATTAGGATTTTTCTAAAAGTGTTTACAAGCCATTGCTTTGAATATCCCCTTAATGGTTTCTAGGGATACTGTTTCCTAGATTCCTTTTCTTCCTCTTTTTTTTTATTAACTTCATCCTTAAATAACTTCCTAAGAAATGCTGTGTGCTAAGGCAGAGTCTCTGCAAGCCTGAAATTCTTGTTATTTTGCCTTGATTGATAGTTGGATGGAGTCTCAATTTCTAGGTTGAACAAGCCTTGCAAATACAACTTCGAGACAATTCCTTCCTTATCATCTAGCGCATAATACTGTTTCTGAGAAGTCAGATGTCATTCTGATTTTTACTCCTCATTGGTTACTTGGAATTTTCTCACTTTTAAAATATTCTCCTTATTTTTGAAGTTCTAAAACTTCAGTGATATGTTACAGTGGTTGTTTTTCATTTAACGTGTTTATCATTTGAAAACACTTTCAATTCCATGTCTCCTCTCAGCTGTAAGTAATTACATTATTTCTTTGATAATTTTCTCTCTCTTGTTTCTTTGGTTCTTTCTAGAATCTGTATTTGTTAGATGTTGGGCCCTCTGCATAGATCTTCTGTATTTCTTATCTCTTTAATTTGTTCTGTTATTTGTTAGATGTTGGGCCCTCTGCATAGATCTTCTGTATTTCTTATCTCTTTAATTTGTTCTGTTTCTTTGTCTTTTTGTTTTACAGTTGAGACCTTGCTATGCCCTCTTCTTTCAGTACTTCTATTGAATTTTTATTTACTATTTTATTTGTAAGTTTCCAGCATATTCTTTTGCAGAGTATTTTGTTCTGGTTTTGGGCATGCAATATTTTCTTAAATCTTACTGGAAATGCCAATTAGAGGATCAGTGTTTGTTTTTGTTTTAAAAATTCTCTTCTATTCCCTGGATTTTCTGTTTTTGTTCAGGTCCTGTTTTCCTCTAGTTTGTCTTGGTCTTTTTTTTTTTTTTTTTTAAATCTCAGAGTTTCCCCAGATATCTAGAATCCTTTGTTTCCCCCTTTCATGTTTAAGAGTGAAATAGTAGACAGGCTCACTGGGAGCCCAGGGCACAGAGGCAGGGGTTGTTGCCCAGGCTCTGGCTCAATGAGGGTAGATGTACTCATAGACACGAATGCCACACACAAACCACCCCCCACCCACCATGGCTGCTCCATTCCACCTCAGATATTTCCTTAGTTGTTTTTGAGAACAAAAGCTGAGTTTGGGTGTGGAAACAAAAAAAAGTTCCTAGATTCCTCACCTGCCTCCAGGCCTTCCTGGAGTTCAACATCCCTCAGACTCCCAGGACATAATACTTACAGATCTGAGGCTGAGCATCCCTGAAATTGCTAGAATGGGCCTTGCAGAAGAATGAAAGAGCTGGTGCAGTTCTGAGTTAGAAGTTCTGTCTAGGAGTGTACATTACTAGGCTTATAAATGTATATTTCACTACCCTAAAATATGACTACAGTGTTGTTTATTTTCTTGTTCTTCATATTTATATATATGTCCTTTGACTATAAGGAACCAGAAGGGAGAATGAATGAATTGGCTCAAACTATCACAGAGAGTAGAAAAAACTAAATAAAGAACATGTTCTCCTGCCTGTTTGTGTTTGGGATATCTTTCTATCTTCCATTATGTTATAGAAAGATTATTGGACTGGAAAAAAAAATCTAAGTATCCTCACCCTATTCTAATTACTGTGTAGCTTTAAACCTCAATTGCTTTGTCTAGAGAAAGGGAGAGATGTAGACCAGATGATTTCTTGGATTTTTTTTAGATTAAGAAATGATGATAATGATTCTATCCTTCTATTGTTTGCGATTTCAGATCTTCTTTCTCTTAAGTTTTTTTTTCCCCTTTCCAGCCTCCACACTGACAGCACCCTTAAGTTTTTAATATTTGTTTTAACTGCTCTAGTTTTTTACTCCCTCTTGTTTAAAGCTCTCTACTAATTACTGTGATATTCCCCCAGCCAGTTTTTATTTTTTCTAGTTCTCTCCTTTTATTTAGTCTATTATTCCCCTATAGTTTTCCCTTTTCTGGGGTCATTAAGACTATCCTAAATGTGGATATTAAGACATGAATTAATAAAGTGAAGAGGCTACCTTAGTTCAGCATTTTACCTTTTCCTAAAAAATGTATTATGGTAACACAACACAAGAATTTATAGTCCAGAACCCATGCTTGACAGAAAATGTTTTGGAAATCTTTTATTTGTTGCTTTCTGAGTGATTTTTTTTTATTTTGCTTTCTTATTCTGTTTTATTTTATCTAAACAGAGAATGGACATTCTTTGAAGTCTAATCATGACCACTGCAGATGAGCCCAGTGTACCAACTCCCAAACATTCTATAGAGTATTAGAAGATTTCACATTTTGAAGAAGGGGAGAAAATCTAAAAGAAATTTTGGTTGAACTATTGAGAACTAAACTATGGTGGATCATAAATAAAGAATTTAAAATAGATGAGTAAATTTGGCGTGAGGATACAGGTCTGAGTGCAATTCAGTTTGGATGTAAGATTATATTTCAGGTCATTCAAAGTTTAAAAAGTGATATTCATGATAATCTGGCTTTTGCCTTATCATTTGTCTGGGCATGGAACATTAAAAATTATGACTGTTGCCCTTACCGGTTATCTATTAGATATCATCAAATACATGGTAGACAATGTAAACTAGGTAAAAAATGCAACTTCTGACACTTAGCTTTGAAAATACAGTGACTTTAATTACAGAATTCAGCAAAAGCATGAGTTTATATTTTTATGTCCAAAACTTTCAATTTTATATATTTTTATAGACACTTCAGCCTATGAACTGATTCATTTGGGTGTTCTTTTGAATGTCTCATAGCTTTTATGTAGATCTAACTGTGGTCAATCTGGGAACTGCCATTTTCAGTAGCCTTGAAAATGGCTTAGGTCCTAACTTCCATTTCAGTTCGAAGAAAGCTAGAAGTCACAGTCTGTGCTGGTCACAGGCCATTAAAGTTACAATTCATATCAGGATGACCTGACATATCCAGGTCACACTGACCGGATCAGAAAATACAATAGCCTCCTTGTGAAATTCTTGCTTAAAGTTAATTTATTTACATGGAACCACCCAGGTTCTGGCAGGCAGGGAAGTGGGCAGTGATGCAAAAAGGAAGACTCTTTGGAGCTCTAAAAATAGTTCATGGTGCGAATAGGACTTTTCTCCCTAGAAGAAGACCTCCTGCTCTGTCTATGAATTTAGCATACTAGGTGTACTATGTTGCTCACATTCAAAATAAACCAAAGCCTTTGTTTGATGAGCCCAAATAATAGTCAAATGTAGGCTTTATGTGGATCACCTACATTTGGGTTTCATTCATAGTTTTATTTGAATGTAAAAAAAACCCACTAAAAATCAGAAAAAATGTGTCATTTTCTCCCTGTTTTTGCTTTTAATAGATGTCATTAGAATATAAAATCTAAGTGTGAAATTATGAAAAGATATTCTTTAATTCCTTCTAGCTAAATACATATTTAATATATTCCCAGGCTGTTCTAAAGTCTCAAAAAAGTAGATGCATATATGATTGAAATTATTTTTTTAATGAACATACTTTTAATAGAGGTTTGTTGACCCATTGATAAAATATACTTCAATAATTTATGAGTATGTAATTTCTCATTATCAGTAAAATGTTCTATTTGAATGAATCTGAAGACTTGTAAATTATTTGGTATCAATAATTGGTTGCCAATTATGAAGTTTTAGAGGGCATGAAGTATGTCAAATATGTCATTTGAAGAACATATGTGAGTTGGCATGCTGTGGGGTGTTTGTATTTTTTGTTTTTATATTGATACACATAATCCCTTTATTTGGTAATTTTAATTTCTAAGTTTAATTTTAAGAAATTCAATACATTTTTAGTACTATTAAGAAAAACAATGAACAAACAAGTATTTGAAAGAAATCATAAATCTAATTACAGATTTTATCAGAAAGAAAGTAGGCAAAGGAACAGTTTTCTTTTCATATATTATGTTCATAGAATAACAGAAAACGTTACGTTAAGATGGTATTTGTCTTTATGCAGTATTTTAGTATCTATATAAGTCTTTATTATTATATTCAGTGTTTGGTGTAGTATTCTTTTATGACTATAATCACCAATATATTTCATTTAAGAATTCAAAACTGTGCCAAATGAACTGTGTTTTTGTATGGAATATATTTGCCATGAAGAAGAGTAGTTGGGTATATTGTTATTTCAGGCAATAAATATGAATTCATTCTATTAGTTTAAAAATTTTTAATTTCAAAAGTTCAATGATATGTATGATATACAAATTGAATGCATTTCCTTCAGTTGTGTTCATTTTCAATGTGATGTGTCCACAGTATTCTTTATTTTGCATTTATTTTTCAATGTGTTTACATTGTGTAAGTTGAACTTTTTGTACACAGATTCTTGGCTTGTTGCTTAGCAGGATTTTTTTGTTGTGATGTAACCACCATTCTTATAAAAAATTTGATGTGTATATGTTTTGTGTCTTGGTCTTCATTCCACATGTCCCATCGTATGTATTTTTATATCAGGTTATTTATGAGGAACAGTAATTAAAAAGTCTGTGGCCATCTCTTTCACCTTCATTGTCTTCAACAAATAGGTATCCTTAGCTCTTATTTTCTGATAGTCTTAAACAGATATTCAGTATGATGTAAGGCCAGTTAAGGTCTTAACAGTCAGTCACAAATATTTTGCCTTCATATCATATCGTATGTCATAGAGTAGCTATCTTTGGGTTTGCTACTTGGATTTTATTTCAGTTTGACATTAAAAATTTCAATTTGTGGATATCTAATTTGCAGTATTAGAAATTCTTCAGAAGATTGCACTTTCTAATTACAATAACGAGTCTTTATTGAGAATTAAGAACTTCCAGACTCTATCTAATTTATTCCTTGCCACAGTGCCATGATGTAAGTATTAAAGACATTTTTACAGATCAATAAATATAAAGGCAGAGAGGTTAATGCACTTGCCAATGTTCATAGAAATAGAGGGACTCAAACTTACATCGTCTCATCCCACTTTTTAAACGCTCTGTTATACAGCCTTTCCCTTATGATTTTTGATATACCTGCTTCAGTCCAAAACTGATTCATTTGTGGTTGACTTATGCCCTTTAATATTAACCTTTCATACTCCCATTTCTGCAATTATGTCATATTGAAGCTAAACTTAATAATAATAACACAACTGAGCATTAAAATGTATCTTTTCTTTTAGCCAGAAACGTTTGAGCATCTTTTTACCAAGCCTACAGGATCAGTGACATTTGGCCCTCTTCTTTTGGAGCCTGAAACCATTTTAGAAGATATCAGTGTTGATACATCATGGAAAAATAAAGATGACATGCTGCCAGCAACTATGGTCTCTCTCCTTTTGACAAGTCCAGATCTTGAAAAGGGTTCTGTTTGTTTTAGTGACCAACGTAACAGTGCTAACTTCTCTGAGGCTGAGCCCGCTGAGACAACCTGTGTGGAGGAAAGCAGGAGACAGTCCTCTGTTAAATATGCCACCCTGTTCAGCAACTCTAAATCAAGTGAAATTGATGAGAAACAAGGGCTTATAAATTGCTCAGTCAGCAAATGCTTCTCTAGAAAAAACTCTCTATGGAGGGATTCTTCCTCTACTACTAGCTCATGGGAGATAGAAAAGATAGAAACCCAAGCATTTGTAATATTGTCAGATCAGCATCCCACTATAATTTCACCACACCTTCCATTCTCAGAAGGATTGGGTGAATTTTTGAAACTTGAAGGAAATTTCCCTGAAGAAAATAATGACAAAAGATCTGTTTATTATTTAGGGGTCACCTCAATAAAAAAAAAAGAGAGTGGTGTATTTTTGACGGATGAGTCAGGAGTGTTGTGCCCCTTCCCACCCCACTGTCTGTTCACTGATGTCAGAATCCTCCAGGACAGTTGCTCACACCTTGTAGAAAATAATTTCAATTTAGGAACTCCTGGTCAGAAGACTTTTGTATCCTATGTGCCTCAATTTCAGACTTGCTGTACTCAGACTCAGAAGATAATGGAAAACAAGCTGTGTGACCTTACTGTCTGATTTCATTCAAGAAACACCTCAGTTTATGTTATAATGAATCATGTGAAGTGCAACATATTCCACTATAGTTGTGGATAGGGGAGGGAAAAGAACACTGTGAGAATCAAATTTGAAAATGATTTGTTCCACAATCAACAGTATCTGTCCTCACCCAGTGATTATGTTGACTTATGTTGACCAAAAAAAAAGAAAATCTTCAAGAAATGCAGATTGACTCTTTGATGATTCTGTTAAGAAGCTACACTGAGAAGGTCTCCGATGGCTTGTTTCTAGAAACAAGCCCAACAAGTATCTTTTGTGAACATTAGACCTGCATAGAAAGAGCTAATCCTTTGAATTACACCTATGTCTGAAAGACTTCAAACTAATACTTGTGAAATACATAACTGATGTTTCAAGGGTGTGGTTGTTTTACCTTGAGTTTGCACCAATTTACACACACACACCTAATAGGCATCCTTGTACATTTTTAAAGTATGTAGTGTATTTGTATTTTGTGCTGCTAGACACTGTGACTTGAAGACATTTTAATTTGACAAACTTGCCTTGAGCACTCACTTTGTGTAGGTACTCCCACCAAGAGTTGCAGTAAATAGAGGATTTAGTCCTGGTCTAGAGAATATACTTGTGAAGACTGAGAAGTAAGCCTATCTTTATGCATCAAATCTAAGATATGTGCCATAGATTGAAATCACCTATTCGAATGGCAATACCTGCAACCATTATTTTGATGATGACGCAAGCACTTTTGAAAACATAATGTCTGTCTTAACTCTTCTCTACAAAAGATGTTAAAATGGTCATTTTCTTCACAAAATGTTACTGTATATCATCCTGTAACTGTTGTCTTCCCCATTCCAATTTGCATCTACATTGTTTTTTTCTCACGTACTGAGCATGCTTTATATAAACCAACCACTGAGTAGTACTTTCCATTCTTTAACTCAATTATTAAAATAATTGTATGAGACATGTACTGCTATTATGCCCCTTTTAAAGATTAAGTAATTGTGTAATTTGCTCAGTGTCACAGTTAGTGGATGATGGGAACAGAATCTAGATTTAAACTCAGATCTTTTTAATGCTAGTGATTACTTTTTTAACCTATAAGTTATATTGCCATCCATAAAAAAACTGACTTAAATAATATTTATTAGGTAGAAATATAATGGCCGTTGAAAATTAAGTGATAATTACACAGATGTTGTCTTTGCCTTTAAAGACTTTAATGAGTATTTCAGCTTTGCTATGTATAGCAAGAAAACTCAAAGATGGCATATACAAACTAAGAAATCTGCAGAGATAGATGTTCAATGGCAATAAGTAAAAATGTCAAAATCATCAGTGTCTTCAAAATAAATATTTTAGTCCTCAGAAATAGCCTGTGGTTTACTAAACATCACCAGCTTCACACTTAGACTGAGAAAAGATTCTACAAATTTTACTATTAGCCCTAAATAAAGCCCTACACCCTATCTCTATTCCAGTGTGGCCATAAGAAATGAGCAGTTGTAAACAATGACAAAGATCTCAGACTCCAATTGATATTTTTTCACACTTCATGATCATTTGCCAATTAGAAATCAATAAAGCTGTCTGAAGTCATAAGTATTGTTGAGATAGCTCAGGATCTCATGTATCCAACTGATGACTTAGGAGAAAGGTAGAGGACCGTATCAACTCACTGAGCAATTAGTGTGGTATGAAAGCCTTAGTTCTCTGCAAAAATAAATTGAGAAAAAAATTTTTCAGCAACTTTTAAGTGGTTTACAGATTCAGAAATGAATATTGCATGTATAGACATTTTGGTAAAATTAACCATTATTTTTAATACTGCTCATAGAATATAGACATTTGAGGGTATAGTTTAGAACAGAGAGAAAATTACATTTTGCCTCACTTTGTAGATAATAACAAACACTGAGCATGTCCACCACGGCACAACATTCTCCTGTGGTCTGGGACCCAGAACAATAGGGACAAAAAAACCTGACGTTTTCTTTCCCACTGGCCCAAGGTTTCACCCTGCTATTTGTACATGCCATAGTGAATTCAGAAGTCCCAGGACCATTGTGTGCTACAGGCCTGAGTTAAAGGAATTAAGGGACAGAACATTAACCTGAGATCATTGATAGCATCACGGTGCAGCTTCTCTTTCAAAAACAAACAAAAACATTTCAGAAATTTGAAATTTCAAAGGACTTTGTTTCATGGAGAGGGCTGAAACAGTGCAGCTCGACCTATTGGTATATACAGACTTAGATCGTATTTATTGTCAGTGTGCCAGGGCTCTGATTTTCCCTTTTGAAAGTTTATTTCACTATATATATTACTATGTAATATTGGGTCTTTATGAAAATTAACTGCCATTAGATAGTGGATTTTCATAAAAATTTAGGAAAAAATTTAGAATGCTTTGTGTGTCAGCATGGTTAGATAGTCTCCATTTCTTCCCACAGATTCTATAAAAATATGTTAAGGGAAAGAGGAGCTGAAATATGAGTTTGGACTGTTAAATTTAGGGTAAATGTGGAAGGTTGAGTATTTCATTTAAAGGACTGAAATTGCAACACAAGCTACTATTCTGTCTCCCTAACTCTGAACTTCATGAAAAGAAACAGAAATTAATAATTGGAGTTATGATTTCAAGTTTAAACAGATTATTTGACAACAAATCATTTGTTAGGGTTAATGAGATCATGGGTTTCCTAGGTTAACACCCCCAAGAACAAAGATGAAGAAAAATCAGTAAGAGGAGGGGTCGCCAGTTGGCCCTCCATGTTCCCGTTCAGAGATGGGCTGCCTGCCTGCTGACAAGAGGAGTAGGAACAGACATTCTTTTATTTTTCAATCTAATCTCAAGTAGTAAAAGGACTTAGATGACAAGTCCTGAGCCAATGGGTATTCCTGAGACTAGAATAAGGTTTTATGACCCAAAGCATGACATTCTTTTACTTCTTCTCATCCCTTTCCAAGAAACCAACTCCCTCTTTCCAAACATGAAACATGTGACCATATTCCCTTAGAAATATCCATCTTAACTACTAAAAGCTGAGGGAGGGTAAACTTCACAAATGCACACCAGATCCCACAGCTACCTTGGCTGGTACAGCACACAGATCGGGCTATGAGAGCTTGTGGCCCTGGGGCTCCCCTGGGATTCATGGACCATGTGCTAAGTGGATCAAGACTTACTGAAACCATATGTTGTGTAGGCATGGATGGAAAGACCTCTCTCTAAATTATTTCCTGTAGGTTTTAAAAGAAATGTGTTCTACTTTCATCTGTCAATGGTCATTTTAATAAGTTACAAACTCTTCTAAAGTATTCGTTGTTGAGAAAACACATTCTCAAATTTTAAAAGACAAAATTTAAATTGCCCACTCTAATATTATTAAAAGAAGCTGC